CTTTGTCCCCCCTCCCATTGTCCCTGCAGAGGACCCTAAGTTGTGCCTACTCTTGCTGTGAGCCAGGTGTAGGCCCACAGATGCCAGGATACAGTCCTGGTTCCCACTAATATATTAGGCTGAAGTTTCCACAGATTTACTGATATAAATATATTAATGTTATCAATTTTCCTGTCTGATATATATATATATATATATATATATATATATATATATAGAGAGAGAGAGAGAGAGAGAGTTTGCTGTGATTTTACTTTGAAACCAGAAGCAGTAGAACCAAGAAAACCAGCTTCAAAGCATTCCTGGAAAATCACCTAAGATATGAGGTCCAGGATGAGATGGCTAGTCCCTGTATAATTGACTTTAACAGCCTTAAAAGCATAGGAAATAGAAACTTTTTTTGCTAGTAATGTGAACTCATTTTATAGGCTCTCTGTCCTGTAGCTCCCAAGTGAAGACTGCCCAACATCATTCACAGACCTGAGGAAGAAGAGGAGTGGTTCCTCTAGAGTCTCTTATGGACCAAGGTCCTGGTCAGAGTCCCTGTTAGTCACAGCATCACCACTACACCCAGTCCTACAGCATCAGAGCCTCCCGCAATGTTCCAGATTACTCAGTAGGGAAGCAGGTCCCTGAACTGCACCCTGAACTGGACTCTAAATGAAGGGTTCTCAGCCGTAGTCAATAGCAAACCAGGATTGGAATGGGTCAGCTTGATTTACTCTTTGGTGAAAGAAGTGTTGTCTCTCTGATGGTTTTTCTTTAGAAAACCATGAAGAGATCAGTAGGTTTGACCTCAAACCCTGACACTTTGTACCGGGACAGCACTAGGGAAAATGAGTGTTTGTATTAGGGACATTCCTATGCTAGCTGTTCATAGGGTCATACTCACTGTTGTGTGGACCTGTGAAAGCCAAGAGAAAAGTCCTCAGATTAGAAAGATCACCTCAACTTCTTCTCCTCCGTAATATGACAGTGTGGTAGGAGAATGGCAAGTGCTTTTCATTAGAAAGAATTGGAGGTGAGTTTTTGCAGGTAGGGTATGTTTCTCTTTTATTTGTTGAGATAGGGTCTCATGTCTCCAAAGATGTCCTCAAACTGGCTTGGTATGTTCAACTTGAGCTTAGATCATTTTGCTTCTATTTCCCAAGCTAAGGTTACAAATGGCCAGTGAGGACAGCACTGCTCATTGAACACAGGACTTAGACATGTGAGGCAGTCACTCTCCCACCTGAGGTATGTCCACAGCTGTTGTTTAATTTTCCACCATCCTTTCTTTTTCTCGATAAGGCAGAATCTCACTGTAACTCCCAGAGGCCTGCAACTGATACTGCTTTGGTGTCTTTGGTGCAGGGTATACAGTGCCACACTCAGCCTGAGGGCTTCATCTCTGGGTGGATCCATTATTTCAGGTTCCTCTGCCAATATTCATCACAATTTTTTTCAGCACCCTGATGGCTGCATTCTCTATTTGCTTAGGAATCCTGGGACAATTTTCTAAAACTAAGAACATGGATTCCACGACTGCACTCTTGACCCAAATACCATAATGTAACCATTCATGGGGATTCTGGTTCATTTAGGGAGAAATATTTAGCAGGGTTGCAAATGTTGTTCTCCATGACATCATCAGTCCCTTCACTGGGCATTCTATTGAATCCTGGAAGCTCATGTCATTCCATGATGTCACCAGTGTTGTACCAACACCAACTGCCCTTAGGACATTCCTTCAGTGCCTCTCGGTTATATCAGTAGCCATGTTGTCGAGACTGAGGACTCTGTTTGGCAGAGAAAATGGAGACCATCCAGAGACCAGAGAGAGGCAGAAAGAAGCTGCTGTTAGGTCTCAGAATAAAACAGGAACAAATAAGTCCTGGTGAAGGCACAGTGAGTGTTGGGCAGGAGACGGGGAGGATCCTGGAGCGCTGGGACTTGCAGAAATGGGTTAGAAAATCTGGAGCCTCTGAGAAGTAAATGGACTTCCCTGATTAACATATTCCTGAAAGTCAAGGATTCTAGAACATTAGTTTGTCTGTTCCCTAAGCCAGGACTTGGCAAAGTCAAGGCTGTTCTTCTGGGAGCACCTAGCTTTTACCTTACCATGGTTTGGGGTTGTAATATGGGGATAGGAGGAGACGTGCAGCAGGCAGGTAGGGAACTATGTGTATCCAGCCTAAGGCAGAAGACATCACTGCACTTCACCCTCTGCTGTTTCCTTTAGGGGCAGCACACTCCTGACACTAGTCACATGCAGAGCAAGGGCATCACCTAAGATATCATGTCTTCAGGCTGTCCAGCACAACTCTCTGACCACCTGTTCATGACAGTGGCATCCTTAGGGTTCTAAATTAGAAGTTGAGGGTGGCAGGAAATCCCTAGTGTAGACATAAAAACTGCCAGAGGCGTGGGACCAGGGATGCTTCATGACAGCTTCCATGTTTGGGGCTGTCATTGGATTACTGTGACTTGGTGAGTCTTTCGTGCATGTTGTGGCCTTGCCTGACTTTTCATTCCACACCCATGGGCCTGGATTAAACAGGTAGCCGATCTGGGATCCTCAAAACACCTCAGTGCTTGTGCCCTCTGCCATTTTTTTTTTTTTGGCTTCTAAAAAAACAGGCAGGTTTCAGTGCTCTGGACCATGTTCCTTCCTGTGAAGAAGCCTGAAAAGGCCATCTTTGGGTTCACCTGAAGCATGTGAGGGAATGCAGAGGAAACACCTGTCTGTTTACATAGCCACATATCTAATAAGTGTTGGGAGAGCAGAGATCCACAGAAGGGGCTTCAGTACTGGACCCAAATATTTCCATTGTCACCAGGTTCCAAACATGTTCTTTCTGTTTGGGCCTCCAGGAGGTGTGAGTTTCCCCTGGGTCTTGTCAACATACAATTTCACTAGAGTTCATCTATACCCAGGGGCTTCTATGGAGCCATCATCCCAGCCAGCGCTCCTCACCAAGAAACAAGTGGAGGAGGAAATGGAGAGGCTGATCATGGAGTTGCAGCTGATGACCAGCCAAAGAAATGAGCTTCGAGACCGCCTGCTCTTCATCAGTGAAGGAACTGTGGATAATAGGTATCCATGGTTTCAGACTCCACAGGACTGTCTCACTATCGCCCTCTCCAGTTGTCTTTTCTGGTGTTGGTTTCCACAGTGACATTGACCTGAGGTTGTGGGAACTCATGGCCTCTGGACCAAGAGAAAGGGGGCCTCAAGGAGACCTACCTAAGCTCTCTGCATGTGTGTGACAGTCGTGTTTCTTGAACTTTCTATAGGGATACAAGCAGAGTGATTAGGGCCTGTCGCTGGACCTTACCTGGCTTTTGGCAACCTCTTTCCCATGGAGGAATAGCTTGACTAGCCTTGATGCAAGTCTAGAAGCTTGTCCTTTGCTCAAGCCGATAGGAAGCAGACCCCTTTCTGAGTGGAGATGGAGGAGGATAGGAATGGTGTGGAGATAGGAAGCAGAGTGTAGGTGGGGGACTGGGAGGGTAGAATGTCAGAGAAACTAGGGGTGGTTTGTAAATTAAATGAAAAATATGCCATTTAAATAAAATAATAAAGAAATTGAGATTATTAAAAAAGGTCTTAGTTTCTAGGGGACTGTACCTCCATCGTGACTCTGTACCTGACTCATGTCCTATATTCTTCTCAAAGGAGAGGAGGACCTGAAGTTTCAGAGGGAGTAAATTGAGTACTAAATATTCTGCTTTCTTCAGATCAAAAGGAGAGGCTGTGGTTTCAGTCACACAGCTCAGGGATTTGGACAGTAATGTGTGAGTTTCTAGCATGCATTTAGAAAGGCCCTGGCAGGTGGGAGCTTGTGGGAGATACTAGGTGCTGTGAGTTTGTGGTGACTCTTTGAACTTGCCAGGTAGGTGATTATGTGCTGGAAGTTCTTGGTAGCAGCTGGACAGGTATGTTTTCTCTTGGTCCTTCTCAGTGTGGTACAGGAAGTCCTGGAACTCCTCACTGTTTCTTTCTAGTTTGTGCCTTATACTCTTAGACAATAGTGCTCCCTTCCTTTCCTTAGCATCTGATTGTGGGCTCGGTGCCTCTCTCTATCAACTTATTATTCAGATCTCCCTCTCTGTCTCTCTGACTGTCAGTACCTCTGTGTGTGTCTCTCTCTGTCTGTTTCTCTTTTTCTCTCTCATGGGTGTGTGTATGGTCATACATGCTTTTTCAGATTTGTGTTTTCCAAAACAATCTGGAAGCCATCATCTGTGGTGGGTTCTGAGGTTTTGCATATCTAAGTTTCTAGGCTATGACAGTGTTGAGATCAGGGAGCTAAATTTTATGCATCAATGCTCTTGTTGAAAAGTGTGTTATCACCACAGTGGGACCTAGGAATTTTGGGAAAGTTCATATAGATGTCCTGAAGTTGGGTCTCAACCCAAGAATTATGTGCTGTAACTTGATTACATCTTAATTCCTACATCTGGGACATAGAATCGGTGATCACTAAGTAGAAATGTCATTGTAGTATCTGTTGTGCCCAGATCTTTGGAATAGACTCCTGGTAACATAGAAAGCTAGATGGATCATCCAGGACTACTAAGTGAGCTCATCCATCCAGGGCACATTCCATCTGACTATCCATCCTCTGATGACCCAGGGACAGGATAACAAGGGGGCCCTCTGTACATAGGGCCCAAGATGTATGTAGCAGATACTGGGCTGTGGCAGACCAGGATACAACTTGAGTTCACATGATCCTTGAGGCCTGTGTTCATGGGGTTCTCTCCTCTTGCTCTAGACCCTACCACAAGCCAAATCCATTTTATGAGAAACTGAAGTTAGAACATAAACAGGTCATGTGTGAACTCAAGATCTTTGAGAAAGAGAACATCGAGGACTCAGAAAAGTTGAGTGAGCTGACCAAGGAGACAGTCTTCTATCGGTAAGTGCCCATCTTGGCATGGACCCCATGACTTGTGGAATGGCCACCTCTGCCTTTTTTCCCTCTGGACTGGAGAGTCCACAGCTCTAGGCACAACCTTTCTGCTCCTTAGCAAGCAGCCTTAGCAAGCAGCTCTCTGATTTGTGTCTCTTGAACTCAGTTTTGCTAAATGTGACTGAGACTGTTAGCCCCTGTTCCCATTGTCCCATTGTTAGCCCCAGGAGCCTCTCTATAGAAAAGCGATTTGCACTGTGAGGAGAATGTCAGGCAGCCCTGGGTTTCTGTATCTCAGGCTCAGGCTTTACATACCTGGTGGCTATGGAACCTGTAGATAATCCCCTTGGGTCTCCTGTCCTCACTTTTAGGGTATTTGCCTAATATTTGCTGATGTTTCTCCTTATCATGGACAATTAAAGAAAGTTAGGGGAATTCACTTTCTATATGAGGGACATCGATCCCTTGTTGGTGTTGGGGATTTCTGTAGTGGTTTGATTATTTCTGGAAGTAGCTGTTCTCTCATTTTGGCTTCCTGAGTACACCTGTCATGGCTGTATCAGATTCTGGCTATGTCTCCCTCAAAACCTGAGGCCTTTTGGGGAGTTGGCTTCTGGAAGCAGGTATGGCAGGAGGAGACTGGCAGAGACTTACTATGCAG